CACCACTTAGCTTTTATTCGTACGCTACGCCTGCGAGAAAGAGCCCTCTTTCGCCTCACAAACGCCGCGGAAGGACCTGTATAGATATTAAACGTGTACAAACAATACTCAGGGCAATCATGCGAGTGGTCCGACGAGACCGTTGGACGGAAGCTGCGTGAAAGACGATGATGATGATGTTACCAAGTCGCCCGCTCGCTCATTCATTCATTCATTCATTCATTCGTTCATTCGTTCATTCGTTCGTTTCTTGGTTCGTTCGTCGGCACGCGCTCACGTGTGCTTTTTTCTTGTCCTTCTATCTCGTCGCGGACCAAACGTAACCAGACCTCGATGGCGGAGAGCGACGCCGGGCCGAGATCGACACCGACAGTGACACCGTGTGCGCGACGTCGTCGCCGGCGCGAACGGGAGAGAGATGAACGATGGCGTTCGAAACGGAAGCTAAGCCATCGGAAAACAATTAGACGCTTAGTGTTTCCACCCCCCGACTGAAAGAAGCCCTGCCCCTTCTTAGACTCGGTATCGATAGTCGTTACTTGGAACTTATCTCGAGCGAGATACTCGGATTCGAGTTCGGAATTAGCTGGCAGTCTTTCAGCGGAACTGCGATCGCAACCTTACGCAGACACCGAAGGGAATCACTCATTAGCCGAAATATTGACATCTGGTTATCGTTATACCGAGAAAAAATGGTTGGATCGATAAAATCCGACGGCCACCCTCATTCGAATAAATATTGTATCCACCGTACTGATTATGCGCATTGGAGTCACGTTGCATTAGTATAGTTACTGATCAAATCGTAATTGTTGAGTCAAATAATAACTCATTATAGCAACCGTATAATTTGTTCAGTGGACTAAACGTTGAGCTTGGAAGAATTTTTTCGTTGAAGAAAATTTTTGTTGATTCTACCTTGTTTTCTTAGTGTGAGTGATTGTTTTACACGATACGTAATTATTGCACTCTAATCGCTGCGGGAACTTATTGGCTTTTGCTTTCTTTTCTTCCCAACATTCGAGTTTCTAAAGAGCCACAATTGGGTTGGATACAATTGGTCATAGTTATGTGAGAAATACCCAACTTACGTATCAGTATGAAGTACGTATCGAGAGAAATGAAGATGAAAATTTAACATGTGATTTAAAAAATATAAATAGTATTGAAGTTCCTTACAATCGTTCAAGAAGTCAAGGTATTCATTGACAAGCTTAATCCTTCAAAAATAGGTAAAAAATACGCAACTAGTAAGACAGCTGTTTTTTTTAATTAATTCTAGACGTTTCCCACAAGGCTTGGATCTTCTTGGTTTATATAGAAAGGCATATAGACTACTGATTGGTAACAAGATCTCAGAAATCATAATTTTGTGAGTTGAATTCTCGCACAATTATGGCCAATTATAATCTTACCGTTGCAAACGTAATTTCACCGTGCGTATTCACCCGAGGATTTCGAGTCCAGCTGTAAATCCAGATCCCAGTAACTCACCGGAGACAAGTTTCAAGCGACAGTTGTTAACACGGACCATAAACTCGTGTTACGTTCCTTCGAACGCGGCCGCAGCTCTCGAGCCCTTCTGCCATGCGAACGTTCACAGACTATCCATTCCTTCCGAGGGTTACTTTCTCCACTGTCCTCGGCACGGGCATATCCGTGTCCCCGAGCAGCTATTCCCGAGCGTCACGACCAGGCGCGTTAACGGCTGATTCTCGCGCGACGGAAATCGTTCGACTCCCGTGTCGGACTCGTAACGAAATTTCGCGAGCTCCCGCTCGGTCGTCTCTAGTTTCGCGAAACGCTGCTTTCGGGGACCGGCTTCTCAAGGCGCACAGAACGATTTCTACAAACCAGAGTTCCTTGTCGCATCGCGTGTCTGTGGCGCGCGCGAGACGCCGCAGCGTAATCTCAAGGTTGTACATAGTTACTCGACGAATAACGCAGGTCACTTGCGCGTAAGATAAGTTAACAGAACTGGATGCAATATTACCGTGTACACACACACACACATACACACACACACACACACACACACACACACACACACACACACGCACGCATAGTCCTGTGTAATCACGATAATTTATCGAGAGAGTTTGAAAACACATGCATACACACACCAGACAGACAGACTGTCATTTCGTCCTCGCATGTAAATAATCAAGTCACAAGTCTCTTCCTCGCGCGGATACCTCGTAGGTAGTAATTGCAATAAGCGTGTCTACAATCCACGATCCACGTCTCTACGGATAGAATTAGAAGGGTAGGTAGCTAACCAGCTAGGTAGGGTAGGTAGACTAGGCAGTAGGTAGATAGGGTGAGATGGATGCGTAAATTAGGGACCCACCGGTCGGGTCACGTTTAGGTTTACCATTGCACACCACGGAATTAGATTCTAACGTTCAGCCTCGGATTTTGCAGATGCGGAATTGGACGACAGTAAACAATCAATAAGTAGTGACAAGACAAAGTAGCTAATTAACGAGACGCAATACACGTTACAGTTCGAGATCTCTGGAACGGGTCTCTCGCAGCGCATCGGGACGTTTCGCCTTTCGCTCATAATAACGAGCATATAATTCGCTCTTTCCACCTGCTTGCGCTTTATTCGAATTCCGATAACGACATCGATCCTCCTTACTCCGCGGACCGGAGTATCTCTCTCTTCTCTATCCTTTTCTATCGCGGTTATGTAACGCGGGGAGAGAAACTGATCGCGATTAATGTCGCGGAGAAACCGCAGATATATTTCTATTTGCCTCTCGCGTGGGGACGAGCCGCGATAGGGAGAGAGACTCTCTTCTCCGTTCCAACGCAAACATCGTCCTCGAGAGAAGCTCTCGAGACTCGTTCCAGTCCAGCGTGATGTTTTCGGGGCCTCTCCAGAGGTTTCGGAGGCAGCGTGTCATCTGTACAGCGGAGATAACCGAGGAGTGCTTGCGACGAAAGAAAGTATAACAGCGAGTTTTTTACGATATCCTGCCCGATGATTGTACGGTACGAGGAAGAGTTATCAACCGTGCGTTGTCCCGTCCCGGGCAAGTGAAGTTGGGGAGCGCGATTATACGCCTCCCGGATCTCGAGCACGGCTCGATTTTCCGACTGTTTCGCGATCCCCTCGTCCGCACCCAGCGATGGACCGGTGAGGGCCGTCAGAGACGAAGCGTACCGCAATTAGTGATCACGGCCGGCTTAATTGCGACGCGTTCCATCGAAGCGGACACAGCTCTATCTTAATCTCGAACTGCTCGGCGAACATGAACGCGCTCTTGGACTCTGGAGATTCCGGAAACACGGCTTCCGCGGGCAGGCACGGGGAATCTCCGCGCGACTCGACTCGATCTCGCGCGCGCGCGGATACAAAAAAACGAACGGTATCAGCTGAGAATCTCTTTGTCCGGTGCGACAATCAACGCGGCTCGTAGAAGGACGACCTTGTAAAAAGAAAAAAAAAAGGCGCGTGTGTAATATGTAACATAGCGGTTCCGATTTTGTCCGATTAGCTCTTCGTAGCTCTTCTTTGTTTCTTTAGCCTAACTCTTTGGCGTATGTTATTATTATTATTATTAAAAAAAGAAACAAAAAGCGTGTGTAACGAACGTTTCTATGTCGATAGTCGAAAAGGATAGAAGATGTGTTTAGAATCGCGTGTTCTCCTCTTACAAAGTTCGAGGCGCACGTTCGTATTAACCAAGACATAAAATAGTGTGTGGGTGTGCGTAGTGAGCGTATAAATATTTTTTGTAATTCATACAACTCGGTGTATGACTTCTACGCTAAGAGAAAAAAAATATTGCGTTCAAGTAAATACTTGCTTAGAAATATTGGAATAATTGAAACGCTTGAAACGGGTCAGCTCCATTTTTGGAAATTGTACAGTGTCAACAAAGAACTATTTTGCAAAGTAAATTATGTGAATTTTTTTCGCGAAAATCGTTTAACCGTTTGAGTGTCAAGGAGCGATTTTTGCGCTTCTTCTGTTTCGCTCGAAAAGTACCAGCATTCTAGGCTGCGAAGCCGATAACCGGCACACGCTCGGCTTCTGTCGATGCGCGACTTTACGGCTACCATTCCGTTTTAGGTAAAAATGAAATAATGAGACAACTGATAAAAGAACGAATTTTAATTGCAATCTAACATTTGGACGGCAATCATCGAAGAATAAGACAAGCGCTATCGCGCCCGTTTCCCCTATTTGGCATTTCTGGATGGGGAATAAGACAAGCGAAAAAGCGCTCCTTGGCACGTTTGGACGGAGAAACAGCAGAGACGCGTGGCACTCAAACGGTTAAATATATAAAGATCGTCCTGTTAATGCATTTTTGGATAAAAATGATTTAATTGGTAATGACAGTTTTGATAAAAAAAAAATATTTCTTTCTTAAATGTAGCTGAAATCGGTTTTCGCACCGAGCTCTTTAATTATTTTATTTGGATTAAGTTATTTGAATGTAGCACACTGAGAGAAGAGAAAATGCCACATTCAGATAATATCGATTTAATCCAAGTGGAATAATTATTCCGACATTCCTCGGTAAATATTTACTTGAATGTAACACTTTTTTCTCTTGCAATGTAGTAAAATTGCAATGTAGTAAAGATAAAATTATTTACACGGCTATACTTTGCGAGGATAATAATAATTCGATTTTTGATTGAAGCATGCGAGATTCAAACGGTCAATGTCGAGTTGAATACTCGATACCTCGATAATTAATCGGACGACACCGCGGAAAGTCGCACAGTGGAGAGTAATTTTACTCGCCAAGATCGCGGAAAGCTTCTTAGCGTGCCAGAGTCGAAAAGTCTATTAACGTTCCGACGGTCGTTTTATTTGCACGCTTACCACTCGCGTTTACGCCCGAGTACTACCATGTAAATACACAGTTACATACACCGTTTGTGTATATATTTTTTTCGAATATGCCGCAATGCGGTGGCGGTCGTCGATAGACGATAAATCAGAAGGAGGAGGAGGAGAAGGAAGCTGCGCTGGCCGACCATGCGAGCGTTCATTATAGCAATACGATTAGCATTCTCGCTACGATAATTTTCACCATAACGACCATAGCAGTTAACAGTAATGACTTGATGACGAGGTCTAGGAAGAGAGAGAGGATCGCTTAGAGTAACGTAGCCGAAACATGCATTTTTCACCGTATGTCGAGATCCTGCCCCGATTTATTCAGTCGCATCACTCGGACGTCGGTACGGCGCGTTTCTCCCATCTTTTAGTAGATAGCGATAATCGCTCGATAGCGCCCCGATAAGAGACAATTATTTATGCGTATTTATGTTACATACATACACACACATATATGTGTGCAGCAGGGTGCAAGTGTGAAATAGAGGCGACGATCCGCAGCGAGATCTGAAGCAAAGACGAAGCTCCGAGAGAAAAAGAGAGATAAAGAGAAGGGAAACTCGCTCGTAAAACGTTTCCCCGGCGAGAAACCGCTCTGCATCAGATCGCACGCGACTTGTGGCCGCGCGCATCCTGCACGCACCGAGAGAGCTACACTCATTAAACACTTAAATAATATTTAATTTTAATAGTGTGTGTATTCCGACAACATTGAGGTGGAAAAGCGGCCGGACGAGTGAAATCGGCGATCAAATCGTCTCGTTCGAATGATCATCCTGTCCGCCTAAGAAATTACGAGCGTTGATACAACGACGCGATTACGTACGCGCGTGCGTGGTTGAAATTTCCTGAACGGATCGCAATCGTCGGAACGGTCAACAACTCGTTACAGTAATTGCATGATTTGTTGATTACCGACGTTGACGACGTTCGCTCGAACCGAGTTTCGCCGATTCCACCGCTTCCGTTTTTACTTCCCGGTGCCGCGGTCTCGCGCACGTCATACAATCCTGCCGCCGTAAGAGTAATATATATACGACGTACGTTTAAGTATTTATTCCTACTAGAGATTATATTTTATTATTATACGTGCTTTTTCGACACAAGGCTCCTCTGCCACGAGAGGAAACACGTCGTACCGCGTCGCACACAATATCGACTGCTTCTTTACCCTGCTCTGCCCCCCCCCCCCCCCCCCCCCCNCCCCCCCCCCCCCGCCGCCCAACTCGCGAATACGTGTATTGTAATTATCAGGGTCTTAGAAATAGGATAATATATCACTGCATCGTGTTCCTTTTCCGTGAGAAAGGGAAAGAAAGAAAGGGGAAAAACGAACCGGCAATAAGCACCCTCTCCTCGACATCACGAACATCGCGGTCGACACGGTGCACGCGATCGCACGAAGCCTTCTTCGATCCCGTCAAAGAATAAAGTAGTCTCCGGCCTGTCCTCGTGCCGAGGAGAAGGTTCTATCATCGGATATTTTTCTGCCGCCGCGACTCCTCTGACATTCGGGCGAATCGTGGGAAAGATAACACTTGGTCTGTTCTTTTTAGCTCAACCGGCTGCACTGGTTGAAGAAATGTACACGCAGAAGAAAAATTAGTCGTAAATCAAGAATAGGTGTTCTCATATATAAGCAAGAATGTTATGATCTTCTCAGGAGATTTTTAGTCTTGATTTGATTGAATTTTTGTATTGATTTATGCAAGCATTATTTTTGTTCGATTCATTATTAAAAGTCTCCCAAGATTATTTTAATATTATTGCTCACATATGAGGATATCTATCATCAATTTAAGACGTACTTTTTCGTACGAGATTCTCATGCTTCAGTGTGCGTAAATTTTCTAAATTAGTGCGGCCAGTTCAGCTAAAAAAAACAGCCCAATTAATTCGTCGTGCAGCACCTCGAGCAGAAGAGTCGCCCCGGTTCCCTTTGAATCGATCCTTCTGTATCCCTTCACCCCTTCTATCTCCCCCCTTTCCCCCTCCCTTCCGAAGATGCATTTCTCTGCAGTTTCGTTTTGTAAATATGCATTTACATTGACATGTTCGATCGGTCGAGAAAGAAAGAGAGGGAGGCGATCGCGTCGATCTTCTCGATCGGTGAGATCCAAGAGAGCCACACGTCGGATCACCAATTCTCGTTTGAATCGACGCGAATGTTGCATCGGACGGACTTTTTTTGCCGTTTCGCGTCGCAAAGTTGCCGTGTTCGCAGTCGCGCACCACACCATGGGTCGATCGATCATGCTCCGAATTTACGAAGGCCGAGTCCTGTCCGCGCGACGCGCATCGAATAAAGGAAAGAAAGAAGAAACAAGGATCTAACGGGTTGCCGGGAAGGGAGGGAGGGAAAGAGAGAGAATGTCGATCGCAGCGTTCGATATGATTCATCGCATCGTGTCCCGCGTCGAGGCGATCGACGACGATCTCTCAAGGATTCGAGTCCGAGCACCTCCAGCACTCGTCACGTCCCCCCGTTTCCTACGATCGTCTACGGACCGATCCTTCGCGCACACGCGCCTAGTCAGTCTCCTAGAGAATGCGATTAATCGCCTCGCACACAAATGCGTCACCCTGATCTTTTTTCCTTCTCTTTTTTTTCTTCTTTTTTTTTCCTGCATTTCCGACGGTCACACTCGAACTCCGAATAGACGCGCGCGAATCGGACGGTCGTAAAAGACACCGACGACGAGCGTGTGCTAGTTATCGCGTCGTAGTGTCGGTGAACCGATTGATAAGAGCGTGGAAACGACCGCTAAATTAGAGATTTAGAAATGACTTCCTCTCTCCGCGCTGCTGCTGCTGTACACTTGTCGTGCTTCTCTTTCCCGTGTCTCTTCCTTACGGCCGTTGCTATCTGCGCGCTGAGCGAATCCTCGTTCGGACGCGCCCGTGAGACGCGCCGTTTCGCCGAGAGCGATAGCATGTAAAATTATTCGACCTAGCTAGTCGAAGAGTCTAGTAATAGAGCGAACTATTTATTCGAGCGGGGACTCGTTTCATCGGTTGAAACCAAATATATCAAGAATCGCAATCGCAAGCAATCGCATGCCACAACCGTACCGCCGCGTTTTATTCTTGTATGAGAAAGAAAGTGTAACGTGTAAATAAATAATCTCTCTCGGTTCACATCACGGTTATGTCACGTGAACGTGTGACTGCGTTCAATCCACGGCGCGCCGAATTCGCACGCGAAACGCGTCCCGTGACGCGGAAACGTCAAGATCGTAGCGGTATCGTTGTGGCGCCTCTATATATTTTCTACGGTAAATAAGAAAAAAAAAGAAAGAGGAAAGAACGTACACACGAGTGATCCTGAGTTCCTTACCGCGTGTCAATGCACACTGTACATACCGATGACAGGGAAACAGACAACTGATCGCACGGCCGAATCCGATCGATGGCGTAATTTCCCGAGGTGAAATTTTGATCCTGTGTTAAGTCTACTTACTTAGTTCCACATTAAGTCTTCAAGTTGAGGAAACTGAAGTAATTTCCCATTTGTAGCAGCGAAAGGAGCGTGTGCTCCTTTGATGTTACAAAGGGAATTCAGACTTGGAGGGAAATTTTAAACTCCAAGGTGAAAAAAGTGAAAATAACTTCTGATTTGTAGCTTCAAAGGAACACAATAAAAGTAGCAAGGTGACGTCAAATGACGATTTAATAACGTTTTATTAATGTTAGAGACCTCATTAAGACGTTGTTAAGTTGTCATTTGGCATTGCAACTTGGGACTTTTGAAGATTTTATTAATGTGGAACTTAATAGACTTAATGCAGAACAAAAATTTCGACTCGATTATTAATAGACCGCGAGCTGTGTGTACGCGCCTTATGAGGCGGAACGTCGTGACTTTCGAGAAGAATGAGAGAAGAACAATCAACGGAGCACACTTTTCCTTTATCCTCTCTTGTTTTGTCTTCTCCCCGATCTAGATAATGCCGTGGCCGGAAGAGAGTACATTCGACCGCACGATCGAATTTTTGTTTATCCGTGACACGATAGCGTGTATCGACGGAGAGGAAACCCTTTGTACATTAAAAGAATAACAAGTTAATTTATTATCACAAGCCGAATCGACCCGCGCAGACACACGCAAATAGAGAGAGAAAGAGAGAGAGAGAGAGAGAGAGGAAGAGCGGTCCAATCAGGATTAACACTAATATATACATATATTAACGGTGCAAGCGCGCGTACGCGCACTGTATTTGACGTACACTATTACTGTAAACTATTACTATACATTGTAAGCTTTTTGCGTAAGCACCTAATCTGTGTAACCGCTGCGCGATGTTATCTTTAACTTTAAGTGTAAGACGGAAAGCGCTCCTCCTTTTTTAGTAAGATGGTAATTTAAGAGATATTTATTGATTGATTGATTGATATATATTAATTGGTTGATTGGTTAGTTAGTTGATTGAGAGAGAGAGAGAGAGAGAGAGATTTTTTCGCGACGTCCACAACGCACCTGTCCTGACATCCCTGTAACCCCTGTTACTGCGCCACGTCGCCTGTACAGCACTTGGACCGATTAGTTGATTATCCACGTATATGTTAATTAATTAAGCGCGCGTAGTATTTAACGATAGTTTAAGCCAGGCGCTACACTAATCGCGGCGAATCGCGCGGCGTTGACGCCGCCTTCTCGGCGGGCCTGTTCGATTCTCTTCTCGAGCTCATCCTGCGAAAAACGTCGCCGTGACGACGAGTCACAGCGCACGAGACTACTACTGTACATCTTCGGTACGTATATTGTAAGAGAACAAAGAGCCGACTAATTTATATTTTTGTAGCATCGTGTCGAGCTCGTCGCGTTTCGTTCCGAATTTTCTCCTCGTTCATGGCAGCCTCGTTGAACACACGCCGAATCTGTCGCTCTTCGGAATCGAGGCGATTTCCCATCGCCGGTGAGTCTCCGTTAGGCCGACCAATATAGTCGAGACTAGACTGATTAATCATCAAATCTAGACTGCTCTGATATTCTTGAGGCTTTCGCGGTGCGGAGAAATGTTCTCGAATCGACTTCCGGGTCGGCGCCGTTTCCCTGGATTTCTTCCCAACTTTTCGTGAACTGGCAGTAGATTTCTTCAGGAAGAGGAGCAACCTGAAACCGTTTCGCGCCAGTTTCACGATGCGAAACTGTCTCCCCCGAAGAAGTGATCCGAAGCGTGTTCGATGATAACACGTCGGGGGGAAAAATTCACGAAGAGCGCGGCGCCAACCCGGAAGCCAGATCGAGCAAGATCTAGACTGGACCGACTGGAGAATCGCTCGACTCGGTCGATTCCGGAGAGTCTGCTCGACTATAATAGTCTCGATCCGCCGTTTTAGTTACGGCATCGACTGCTCACGACAGCGAAGTAGACAACGCACCGCGCGCGGATCGTCCGTTGATACGTGCACGGAGAAGAACTCCGATGGACTGATATCGAAGACTTTAACTAAGTAAATTAGCCGTGTTGCTGCGTTCTTTTCGGTGGTAATTTCTTTTCCTTTTTACTTCCTCGCGCCAGTAGAGAACCGCCCGCTCGGCAGGACGGGATCACGATGTGGAGACGACGTGCGTTTTATCGGCTTGATCGAACGATATACGTAAACGTTAGACGGAACAAGTAGATCTTTCCACCGCTCTCTGACCCGCAATACACTGCAAATCCGAGTGTGTTATTTTTGCACGCTTCAACGGCTAAAAATTACACATTTTGAATCTTTTTTTTACGTGTCCCTTGCCGTTTTACGTCATGTAAAAGGAAGCCTCGGCTAAAATAACACACACTGAATTTACAGTGTATGTTCTGTCACTTTCATCCCCGGCGAGGAATCGTCAGATGATCGCATTGCGCGATTTGCAGTCTTATATTTTAATGTAATACACGCGATGGACCTCCGACGACATTCAACGATTCCCACTTGCAGCCAAAATCAACGGGAGTTCGAGTCCGGAGCTTCTGTTAGGGAGACTTTTCGATTTTGGACAACTTAAATTCCAGACCGAATATCTTTTTCGAAGGGATGATCGAATATAGATTCACGGGGGAAATATCCCGGGAAGGAGAAATTGTGCGCATTTCGATCTTCGTCGCGCGTAAATCTTGTTAAGATAACGACGTCGTTCGAGAGGTAATTGGGGATTTCGACAAATCGAGATAATTAATTCACGAGTCTCGTCAAAGGAACGCTATCGCGACAGA